GACACAAAGCACTGCAGTGGCCAGAAGCTTCCATTCGCTCATAGAGTGTTTAAACAGTTTATTTTCTCATGCAGTATAACCCAGACACCAAAAATATCAATGCTGAGATGCAGTTACTGAGAGTATCAAATATTTTATTCTAATTGACATATGAATTTATAAAAATCATTTTAACTAATTCAGAATGGAAATAAGCCAAGCCAAATAGACCAAAGATTTTGGAGTGTGTATGAAATGATTTATCATCTATTTATTTACAAGTCTTTCAAATACATCCTTGACCAATGAAGTTTGACACTTTAAAACCCTACATGTTGAGTTAAAATTTGAAATAAACCAGTTTTTCTAAACATGGCAAATTTAAAAATACCTTAATGAATGATTTGGGGATTACACTTGTAAAAGCTACTCTAAGGCAAACATGACTTACTGGTTTATTTAATGTAATTTACCAAGTTCCCTGCAGTGTCTCACCTGTTCTTTTCTTGTGCCCCCATCCTGATACTACCTCCCTTATAATACCCAACAGTTGAAACAAGCCCTTAGTTACTTTTCTGATAAAAATCAGGAAAACTCAGCAAGATTTCCCCAGTATTTGATCCTTTAAGCCTCTTTGTCTCTTGTACAGCCTCTTTCCCAACCTCAGAAGAAAGAGGCCTCTTCTTGCTGCTGGGTCTGTCCCCTCTACCTGGCTTATCACCCATCCCCACTATCAAGACCCTGTTCTATGAACCACCCATTTTTTTTCTGGTGCTTTTTCTTTGGCATCAAATATTCTCTTCCATCCATAAAAGAAGCAGATGGGAAAGTCTTCCAAGAAGTCTTTCCTTACGTCTATTTATCCAGCCTCCTTTCTGCTTCCACATTTTTGGAAATAAGCAGCTTTTTTTTTTCCATGAAGCCTTAATTTTTTCACAGCTCCATCTAACCCCATGGCACCTGGAAGCAGCCAGGGCATGCATCACTGCTGTTCTGATTTTGAAGAGCTCGGTCTCAGCAAAACTTGGGCTTTGAAGGCCTCACGACAGTGTCCCCACTCCCCTGAGACCTGTGATCCCCACTTGCCAGTCATCAAACCACCCTGTTCTACCGACTTCTGCAGGGGGCTCCTCAAGGTGCCGAGTCTGGTCGCTCTTTCTTCTACGGATCCCTCCACAGTCCCCTGCCTAAAGCCCAGCCAGGATCAGGCTCCTTCACCACCCAGAGGCCTACATGCCTCTCTCTTGTTTGCTGACCAGATGAAGCCCCTCCAGCCAGCGTAGGCTCTCCCATGATGACCTGGTCTCAGCCTCATCATCATGGCTCTACAACCCCTCACCACACCCTGCAATCAACCAACCTCAACTATTTCCACTGGCTGCCCTGGACTTTCCAACTTCTGTGCCTGGAATAACTTTCCTCATCCCCAGGAGAGCCAATCAGAATCAATCAGAACTTCAAAGACCAAATCATTACTCATGCCTTGCCAGTCCAGAGCTTTTCCCTGAAGCTCTGGAAGCTTCTGTCTGAATCTCCTGGCATTGATCCTGTCCTTGGATTACCATCTTTCACAGGCTGCAGGTTCTCTAAAAGAGGCAGCCAGCGTGCTGACTTGGAAGAACCAGATGGACTTCGCTGAAGCCTCCTCTCACCTTTGTAGTGGCCACAGCAGGTGACTTACCCTTTTTAATTGGTGACACCAGTTATCCCAGATAAAAGGCGAATACCCATACCCGCACTTCCTCATAGAATCGTGGTAAAAATTACACAAGAGAGCAAATATGCATCTGGCACTTAAACATGTTTGTGGATTCTATGGTTTTATTTTCTATCAGGGTCAAATTACTCAATTTAGGTTGGAGCTATCTTATGATAACAAAACGGGGTATTTTTTCACTTGTTTTTTTTTTCTTTTTCTTTTTTTGAATAGGCTATAGAATATATATGTAAACATTTGAAAATTCTTTGTCTATTCTTGTTTTACTCTAGGAAAGCAGGAAAAAAAGTTGCGTTGATTATTTTTTTCTTGAAATGAAGAGGGAGGCAGGGAGAAAAGGAAAAGAGTGAGAAATGGAGGGAGGTTGGTAGGGAGGCAGGAGAGACATTTAATGCTTTTTATATGAAAGAAGTGGAATGTTATTCAACTGAAAACACAGAAGTACTTCCAAAACTCTGTATTTATAAAGCCCCATTCCTTCAGATTTCAAAAATACTGTAAACATAGGTCAGCCTGCAAATCAAATAAGTGTTTCTCATCTCTTCCCCACACTTCCTGAGGTAACCTGCTCATGCAGGACTGTACAGGAGCCTTCAGCCACCGCCTGTTTTCCTAACATGGCTTGGCAGGGAGTTGTGCACTTTGGCTCAGAAAGCCTGATTTCAAAGTGACCTGCCAAAGCGCCTCACAACTTAGCGCTGGGCATTCACTTGGCTGAGGAGGGTTGTGAGCCAGTTTGGGCTTTGGCTTTCTGCAGAAAAGTGTTATCCTAAGTAACCAGAGTAAAAGGAAGTGCAGAGGTTGGTTCTGATCATGCAAGTGAAGCTATTCAAGTTCATTATTTTCTAAGTTGCCCACAATGAAAACAGCAACTGTAAAGGTGAGAAACATATCACAGGTCCTAACTTCTAGGACTCAATTCCCTTTTGGGGATGCTGAAGACTTCCCCCACAAAGAAACCTGCAATACTTCCAACATTCCTCAGAGCTTGGCTTTGCACCCATCACCCCAAGAAATTCTAAGACCTTCAAAATGTATGCATCCCTGCGAACTGGATCGCTGTCACATACTCATTCCTAGTGGTTGGCAAGGTAGTCCCATGTCACTGACTTAATTGGTGGCAGGTTATTTTCCAGTTGTCAAATAATCTTTTCCTATTTAGGAGTCAGAAATAGAAACATTCACTCATAAAGGAATTGGATCATTTGGAACATGAACAATATAAGTATTTATTTGAAAAAAAAAAAAACATTTTCCATTGAAGTAAATCCACACATTGGCTGCAGTAGCTTCTTCCAATTATTTCCAAATTGTACTCACAGTCACTTTCATCCATCATGTTCAAAGGTATTGCTACAAAAAACTGTCACAACTTTTTTTTTTAGAAAAAATATACACAGTCTCTCTAATAGAAAGTTAATTAAAACAATAAAACTAGGCAATATAAAGCTAAGATGTGAGACAGATTGACATTTGTAAACACAAATAAATAAATATGTACAAAAGAATCTATGCCAACAACAGGCAAGAAATAGCTTTACAATGCAAGCAATGGTGACAAGGATGGCAACTATTTCAAAACTTAAACTCTTGACACAATTCAGCTAAAAAATGTGGAGAAATGAGAAAAAATAAAGAGTTTGAATTGGTATTCTTCTGGAAGGTGAGTGCAGGTGGCTTTTGGCTCCCCAGTGAGACCGTGGCCCCAAGCTTCTGAGGGGCTGAAGAAAGGTGAGAAAGGAACAGAGGGTAGAATTTGGCTCAGTCTTTTAACTCTATTTGCAAATGTTTCTGTGCAGCTATTTCTCCATAGTTTTCCTTACCTGCTCATTGAAAATTTCTAAAGTGGAGCTGACATTGTTGTCAAATACAAAAATAAAATGTTTTCTCAGATCTGGATGTAAATGAGAAGACATCAAAAGCAAAGCTATTTCTGAAGATATATCTTAATCACTATTAACTAACTATGCACCTTGTGCAGAAATCTCACAGTAGAAAGCTAATTAAACTCTATCATGAATGTCTAAGGTTTGGGGGAAGCATATGAATATTCAGTGATGATTTAAGATTAATTTTCATCTATATGTAAATTCTGGCACAATACACAGCCTGTTAATATATGCCTACAGAAAAGGATTTGGCTCTACTGTAGTGAATCTCAGTGACTTAAGGTTTACTATCTTTTTTCTCCTAAATGCCCCTCTCCCCTGTGAAAGCCAGCCTGGACTCAGCTCTTTTCTGCCAAGATGGTGTTCCAGGTTGCTGCAAAATGGAACAGTAGTAACAATCCACCACTAAACTCTCTCATTATCCTTTTGAGCTTGACTAGCTTCATGACTAAAGCTTAGCCAAAGTTAAGAGGCTCCTTGAGTCTCTGCATAGCCTGAAGGTCATCCTACATCTAAGAACAAGGGCTATCTGCTTTCTGTATAGAAGGTAAAGGCCCTAGGGGTTCAGTTCTGACCTCTTTTCTTGAGCCAACAGGCTCTGCCCAAACCTCTCCTTTCCTCCTCACTTAACTGCTGCTTCCCTGAACCTGATACCTCTCCGAGAATCCAGAGAGCTGTTAAGACCCAGCCTGCACTGAGGCCCATTGCTAACAAACTGCATAAGACTCCATAATTTAACAGTTAAGCTGTGGTCTCCTATACCCTCATTACAAGCATGCATTCCTTAGGATACTTTGAGAGTTAGGTAAGCTGTGTAATATTAGGCATGGCTTTTATGCATCAGGCTGACCCATCAACCCAACATCATCTATCTTTCCAGACCTCCTCAGGCTCCTCTTATGTTATCATCAGAGGACTCGGTACAAATAGATTTTAGACTAGCAGTTGTAGATCCACACATTAATAAATTATTTTAATTAAATGAGACATCCACATGTCTGAATTTATATTCCTTGGAACAAAATTCTCAGTAGGGGAAGAGAGAGGCCTTCATTTACTTAACTGGAAATATCTTAAAAGTCACTGGAGCAAGGACACGACCACAACATCTCAAATGTGTGTATCCTAAAAGGACTATTGTTACAGTGTGACTAACAGAAAATCTCCTCTACCCCATGAGCCTATGGGCTCAGTATACCGTAAAGGGGGAATAGTATCATTGTTAAACAACCACAGGAGGCCCTGTTAATGGAATGTCATCACCAAGCCATATTTAAATGCATGGGATTCAATTATATTTGATAACGAGGCTTAACCTTTCTGTCTTGAATGGAACACAGTCTTCTATTAACTTGGATAATATCTTGGGAAAACTTTCTTTCCAGGGTATGATGTAGTTCTGAAAGTTATATAAGAAAAAAATCCCTTTTACTCTTAGGGTTAAATATTAAGCTTTTTTTTTTTTCTATTTGTGGTTGAAATTTCATTGAAAAAGAAAAAAAATGCTGATGCATTCACAGAAAGTAGCTCTGGATGAAATATGTCGGCATCCAAAACTGTTACAAATATTATTACACTTCTGATTGTTGAGAAAGATGATATAAAAATGGCTACATCCACGCCTCACCAGGAGGTTGGTAGATGAGTCTAAACTAGAGTTTGTCCTTGGCTTTGTTCCCTCCCCTGTTGTCTAATTTTAGTACCTTCCCCTGAGTTCTGATTAGTTTGATTCAATCATACATTCAAAAAATAATGTCTCCCTGGCTTACTGAGTCGTATTGCTCTCAGTACTGAAGTCCAGTGATGATGGAAAGACCCCCTTGGAAGAAATATACTGAAACGATGAATTGTAAATTTCACAAAAGCCTTCTTAACAAAACACACCCCTCATCTGTATGCAGTTACCTAGGTAATAGCACATTTCTATCTGCTAGTCATGGTTTACACTGCATGCAGATCTTCACACTTCTGGAAACTGATTTTCCTTTTTCTTATATTAAAGACATTAAAATTTTGTGCTGTGGCTGAAGGTGTCTGACATGATGATGTTTTTATAGAAGTTATCTGAATGAGCATTGCAATAACCCTTGACCTTATCAATGACCTGATGGACAGGGATGATTGATGTTTGTTCTCCATCAGCATGGGTCAGTTTTGACAAGGACTTGTCCATGGAAGCACTGTCTGCAAGAAATGACACGAGAAATTAGGCTTCAAGATAAGCTGGGGACATGCCTTAGGGCCACTATATTGTGCCCTCTGTTTTGCACATCAAGAAGTATACAAAGTAAATAAAGCTTTTTTTTTTCCCCTTAGATTAGGTAACAGGCAGCACTAAAATTTTGCATTTTTCAACTTCAAAATGCACTCCTAAAATTCACTGAATGTCTATTTGCCTTCTAGTCATTTTTTGTGCTATGGTTTATTATAGGAAAATATTCTTGTAAGTAGCATATTTCAGTCAATGAGAATAATAAAAAACCTCTTCAAGAATGTATGCACCAAATGGCTCAAAAGAAATAATAAATTAGGTAAGAATGAATTAAAATGTTCTGAAATGTTCATGGTAGAAATGTATGATATCTAAGATAAAGTTTTCCAAATAATATAGGAAAATGGGCAGGGGAAAATGAGTTTATGGGAACAAAGGGGTTCATTATACTATTTTCTCTACGTTTTACATGTTTGACATTCTTCATAATAAAACTTTTAGAAAATTTAAAGGATTTTGGAGAATAAAAGTGAATAAAAATAAACATGAAAGTCTGCTTTGAACACATTTTTCCCATGGCTTTTAGCTTGTGAAATGAATGGAATATAGCAAAAAGGACATTTCTTTATGAATTATTAATTGTAGAAGTCAAAATTCCCTTTATCAGAAGTATTTTAAAACTCTTTTTTTTTGTTAACTTGCTACAATTTCAGCAGCACTATTGCTAGCAGAAATAATATCAGAGCAATTGATAATGAGAAAGGACCACTAAATAAACTTGTATTCTGAATTTTTCAGTATTCTGAGTTAAATATTATTTCTCTTGATCCCCAAAATTTCTAAAACTGGCTCAGATAGTGCTCTGAAACTCATATGTAAGATCTATTATCTATATATACATGTGGTTGTTTATCTTTTATTTTTTGTATTCTATGAATGTCATAAGTGCCTGCTCTCTTCCCCCTCCTAATACACTTTGGAGAAACATTATCCTTGAATTTACCCAATTACAGAAATTTCATGGTGGATGAAGGATAAACTGTGCTCTTCTACCAACTGTTCTGTTCTCTTTAATCCTATCTTTTCTACACTGTGTGAGAAGTAAAACCTATCCTGAAACACTGCTTTAGGGAATCATACCTCCAAAACTGCAACAGTCACTTTAGACCTTTTATATTCTGAGTAAGGTGGACTCAGAAAGTGACCTGGCATATAAAATCCAAAAACAATTGTTCAAAATTGCCATTAGGATATCTGTTGTCTCTGGAAACTCTTCAAATGCTCAACTATTACTTTCACTGGACACTAAACAAAAATGGGGGCTAACACAGGAAATGGCACTCTCACCCCACACTAAAGGAAACCAGAGGAAGAAAACATGGTTCATGGAAAGAAGGGGGAAGATGGAAGCATGGAAAAGTGGTTTAAGCATGTCCCAGGGCTGGGGAGAGAAAGCCTGGGGGAGTCACAGCACAAGGTCCCACTCATCTGGCTCTCAGCAAGCTGACTGATTTTGAGCTTTCTTCAAGTTCATGAATTCACTAGCCATTGGTTTTCTGTTGGGAAGTTTTTCTATTGACTTAAATCCCAATAATGAATGATTCGTGTTTGATTTTTTTTTTTTAAAGAAAACAACATGTCCTGAGAGGAATGTCAAGAATATACTCCTTTTACTCCCTAGACAACTTCCAGGAGCATGTGATTTAAAGTCAGTTCCACTGCAAGGATATGATCCAATTGGATGGCACTTCACATAAAAGGTGACTTCCAAACAAGGCAAAATTCTAAACAAGGGATGTGCATATAGTGTGTACATATAAATGACACAATACTCTTAACTATGATATATATGGTTATATATCTATTACTAGTATATATATATATATATATTATTCTCAGTTTTCTGGTTAGATATTACTTTATGAGTAATAAGGACTTCGTTACAACTGTAAATCTGAAAACCAGGGGCTAGAGAAATGAACTCCGTTCGACCTATGCTGAAATTCAAGCAGATGAAAATCCTAACAAAGCAGCTTAGAATGGATGACATCTCTTTTATGACTTCTATGAATGTACCATGGCATATCCAGTAACCCACCAGAGCACTGGAGAGTAAAAATAATAAAATTTTTAAAAAATCATATCCTTCTTTCAAATGTTGCTTTTTTGGTTATGTTACATAATATGTGACCCACTCATTCCAGAGCATGGTACATTTCCTAGAAGGAGCAGCTTGCACACCCCATGCAGAGAAGAGCCGGCACAGCACGCTGCCATTTGAAATTTCAGAAAATTCCAGCTCAGTGCAGGAATATCATTGTGCTAGCTGAAAAGTATTGTAAAGAACAAGCCATTTTGCTGGTGCAGCAAGAATCTTAACTTAATCCATGCAAATATTCTCTTATTACCTTGCAAAAAATTCATGCATTCAAAAAGTGATAAAAGTTTACCTGGATGATCCACTTTTGTTGAAGAAATGCTCTTAGGAGGAATTATCTACACCATAAACATATGAATGTTGGGATCAGTTCCAAGAAATAAACCAACTAGATATCCAAGAGGATATGCAGTGACTTCTTGCATACCCTAGAGATTCCCAGAACCAAGAACTGTCCCAAAGAGAACTGATTGGGTAACCAAATTTATTATATCATATAAACAATAAACATAAAGTTCACTATATCCTCATACTAGTGGCCAACAGCCCTTCAGCCCCAAGGGTTTCATTTTATTTTGGTTTGGTTTGGTTAAGAGAAAGAGAAAAACATGAATGCATTCTTAAAACAATAAAATTTTTTAAAATACCATTTTGAAACAATAGAGTGTGCCTTTCTGCATTTCCTCTAGTATCTTCTAGTCAGTTTTCCCCAGAATCCTACAACAGTCTTTTCCTAATACTTCAAAAATATCTGATATTCCTGAAGACCTACCTTTTTATCTTTTCCCCCTTCTAAGAGAAATTTCTTTAGGCTAGCTATTCTCAGCTGTGGTAAGAGGAAAACAATTTAATTAGTCTAGTGCTTATTCACTCATAACTTATTGACAACATATTAATTATTTTCATTTTAGAAAGAGAAGGAATTTATCTGGGGACGGTGTCACATACCTGTAACCCCGGTGGCTAGGGAGGCTGAGGCAGCAGGATTTCGAGTTTAAAGCCAGCCTCAGAAACTTAGTGAGGCACTTATCAACTCAGAGAGACCCTGTCTCTAAGTAAAATATAAAAAAGGGCTGGGGATATGGCTCAGTGTTTAAGCATCCCTGGATTCACTTCTCAGTACCAAACAAACAAACAACAACAACAACAACAAAAAAAAAACAACAGGAAATTAAGTGTTTACTTTTAAGTTTGATTAAATAAAATAAAAATAAATTTAAAATGTTCATTATAAGTAAAAGATTTTGTTCCAGGGAACTACCAAGCAGGAAGAATAATCTTAAGCTGTACACCTGTCACCAATTTCCTCACACAGGTATTCTCAAGTAGGGGTGAACAAGCCTCTCAATTTTACGCAAAAATGTGCATGTGACAAAAAGCTGGGCAGGGTGGCACACACTTGTAATGCCAGTGGTTCCAGAAGCTAAGGCAGGAGGATCACAGATTCAAAGCCAACCTCAGCAACTTAGTAAGGAACTAAGCAATTTATCGAGACTCTGCTTCAAAATAAAAATAAGAGGGCTGGAGATGTGGCTCAGTGATTAAGCACCCCTGGGTTCAATCTCTGGTATAAAGCCTGCACTTTATTCAAAAAGAGAATCCATAGCTTTCATTTAATTCCCCACAAATGTCTTGCCAAGAAACTTTAAGAACTGCTGTTCTAAGTTGCTCTGAGTTTACAGATCTTTTTTTTTTTTTAATTCCAAAATTAAAGACACTTTGAACATTCAAACCTCCTCCACAGTAGTACCATAATTCCCAGCAGGGGCCACACCAGTGGCAAGACAGGGAAGGTGGTACAAGGAGGGACTATGTAAGGACTTGGGCCACCTGTCATCCAAGTTTTCCCAGTATGAACAATTACAGGCACATCACCTGGCTTTTGCCCTCTGTGCAAAAAGTTGAATATCAATCTTTTCTGTGCCATTCACCTCTGTTCATAGGTAATTGTTAAACAAATTAGAAAACTTAAAAGTTATTTCCATTTGTCCTTTCAGAAGTAGCTTTAATTAGGAAGTAGTGTTTGCTCAGTGTCAAGAGCTGTCTGCCAACAGATTCAATTGGTCTTTAAAAGTAGCAATTCTATCATTTCCCTTTAAAGTGATTAGAAGATGACAGCTCCTCATGCTACTAAGTGAACATCAAGTACCACAAAATATTATTTCCACGGTGTCATGAGGATCATCCACAGACTTGCTCAGTGACAGAGTCTGTGGCTGCCGTGAATATGATGAAAAGGCAAGACATGAAGAAAGCCCCATGCTTCTAACAGTCCTGTCACCTTCCCAGTACTGCCATCTGCTCTTCCCTATTTCATCAGTGACCTAAGGAACAGTTGCCAACAAGGCTTCCAATGCTTAAGGATTTAAGTTGTAAATAAAACACATCCTAGACTGCCCTTCTTCCTGTTCCCACGCCACCCTGTAGGGTACTTTCACACTGTCCTAAAATATTCTGCAATAAATTCTTCATTTTAAAAATAAAAATGCTAACTTTTTAGACAAAATATTCTAATTTTTAAGGAGAACTAAGTTTCCAATCAAATGATAAAGTTACGATACTGCTCGGTTCATCATATGGTTTGCAGGAATAGATGGATTATAAAATTTTAAAGAGAATAAAATATTCATAAAGTTGCTGGAGAAGATCTTCAGATAGATTTTATATTCGTAAATCTAACATAAGCACTCTATCAGGAACTGTGATGCATCAAACTTCCGGATGAGCTGATTCTGCCATGGAAATGTAACGTGAGAACTGGACCAGAAAAGATCTTTATGATGCCAGAAGCACTTACCCATGTGGCTGTTCCTTTTGAAATAGGTGGTAGAGCTGGATTTAGATTTGGATGTAAGATAGGTTGAGTTAGAACCAATGGAACTTGAAGACAAAGATTTTCCCAGATTGTCAGAGCTTTTCTTGATGATATTGGTAGCTGTCTTGCTCCAATCTGAAAGAAATGACATCATTCTACCAATCTCCTTTACCAGGAATATAATACGCTGTGTCCTTAAAAAAATTATCAGTGCACTGCTTTGCCTATCTGGAGCATCTGATTTTCTGACATGCCAACAATAGCTAGAGTAAGTACTGAAAAGGATTGGGGATGTGGCTCAGTGGTTAAGCACTCCTGGGTCCAATCTCTGGTACCAAAACTAACTAAATAAAAATAAACAACAATAATAAACTGAAGAAACTGAAATTTCCTACTTTGAACCTGTGTACATATTATTTAAAATCTTGCATCAATATCCTAGGGTGAGAAGTAACTGCAGTAATTTAAAAAAATAACCCATTTCTTCAAATGTTTTTAAATTGAGATATAATCTCTTCACCTAAAAATGTAATTCAGAACTTCAAAATTGTGGAAAGGAGGGTCTGGTGTAGTGGATAATCTGAGCTGTCAAATTAGACATTAAAACTTAGGCAAATCATTTAAGCTGCCTGGAATTCATGCTTCTCTGCAGTTCGTAGAAGGGATGTATACAGTGCTCTCAGATCCCTTCAGCCCTAATATTCCAAGATTCCAACTAAGAATCTTCACATGCTCCACTTCTACAATCTGCTCCTACTGGGCCTGAGCTGCTTTGACAACAGAAAATGACAAGTGTTTCCAGTTAATCTTAGATAAATACGTCATGACAAACCTGCCCCTTTACCTGAATTATCTGCTAATCGAAATCGGCCACAACAGAGATGCCGTCTCCACTGCTTCTGGACATTCTCTTTCATTGCACAGTGGAAGATAAAAATAAATAATCCTGTGACAATAGAAAATACAAACACTGAGGCCAACTGACACATTTTAAAAGATGAATCTTATAAAATACATGTATTTGTTTTAATTTTAAAGTTTTTATATCTACATTACTAAGGAACAAAGATCCAAGGAAAGCAATCTCAAGAGTTCGTAGTAGACATTTTAATCCTATGGAAAAGAACACAATGGCTCAAATAAAACCAGAATCACTGCATGGATCCAATTTCTGCCTTTGCCTGTTCTGTTCCACATTCATTACGACTTACCTAAAAACCAAGCTGAAACAAGCTACATTCAATTTAAAAGCATTTGCTATTTCCCTTATTTCTGTCTTAAAAGCATGTGAAAACTGTTCATAGAATAAAAAAGAGAGAGAAAAAACAAAAATCACCCATAAACTTATTGTCTGTTTCAATTTGTCAATCTTGAGCTGTTTTACAGGTAGATTATTATAGCTATAATCAGAATAATAGGTTGGGCTTTAGAAAAATGGTTATTTCTACATGTTGTTCAAACACACCTCAAACCAGAAAAATCCTTTGTCTCCACTTGGCCCAATTCAGATTCTCAATATTTTAACACAGAAACACCTCCTTATTGGGCAATAGTCTTCATATTTACAGCCACTCCCTGGGCCTATCAAACACTGTGTCACTTGTGCTTTGCAGGCCAACCCCCTTTAACCTTCTCCTTGCAGCCTCAGTTTCCCCTATTTTCTATATGAGTCATCCCTATCACCTAATAAGCACAATCTAATAACCCTTTTAAAAAATATAAAAATTTCCCTTTAATCTCTAATCTTTCAGCTTCAACTTCATTTATTTCCTCAGTAAAACTTCTTGAAGTGGTTATTACTTTTTGATACCTCCACTTCTTTCCCACCTTCTCCTCCAAGCCTACTCCCCACAGGCTGCCATCACACCCTATAACCTGTGACTGCTCCAGGCAGGGGGGGTGTCAGCTCCCACACTGTGTACTCTATTCCTGTGGCGTCTTAACAAGCCTCCGGAAGCAGCCAAACAATGGGAGAGTCCTTTGTTCTCAATGCCAATTTCTCCAAGTTTTATGGGGATTCCTTCTCTACTGCCTTAGAAGATTATTCTCATTTACTCCTCAAAGATAACACAATTTTGTGACTCGGTCCTGGTTCTCCATCTCTCCCAGGGCTCCAGTGTTGCAGTAGAGAGTGAACTTCTAAACTACAAGAACCACATCTCTGAGGCTCAAGATTGATTTTTCTGCTCGGTTCCACTTGCTTCTCTCCCCATACACCACCAGGATTCCAACGACATTGCTTCTAGGACATCTTTATCTGGCTATATCTCAAACCCCAGATGTTGTGAACTGAAGGTTCCTCCACATGACCCTCAAACCGCTCTCACCACCTTCTGTTTCTCAGTGTATCAGGCTCATTCCTGCCCAATATCGTGCTGAACACTGTCTTCAGCTCTCTCAAAAGCTGCTTCCTACTTCTCATTCAGGTCTAGGATGAACTGATGATGACTGTTGATAAATGTTTCCATTTAACTTCTTCTCACTCCCTTTCACATACCTATTTTCTTTTGAGCACTGAATAGTGCTTGATAGTCTTATAGCCCTCATATATTTTTTTTGCTTGATTTTTGTTTCCTATTAGAATATAATAAGCTCCAGGAGAACAGAGATATTTATCTATTCCAACACTATGCTGCCTGTTCCCAGGACGATGTCAGGCACTCTGCAGCAACCCAAAGAATGTTCACTGAATGAATAAACCATGGCAGCCATAATTTAACAATCATCAAGTCTACATGAGCAGATTCCAATTTTACATGTATTTGGAGGTGGGGGAGCACTGAAAGTAGGACTGAGCAGTGCACAGAATAGGGGCTGATGGAAATACAATGAAAATAGATTGAACATTAACATTTCTGGAAAGCCCATCAATGAGTTGCTGAGATTCTGCCCTAATAATCTGCCACATAGCCGCATGGGGAGAGTTCTCTAGGGGGTCTTGGGGCTTGAACTGAACTTTTGAGTACGGAGGTGAAGAAAGTTTCCAAGAAGAGTTATTCATTCAGTGGCTATTTATACAGCTCTGCTAAGTAGGAAGCACTGTGTTTTAGGAATTGGAGTGTCAATCATGAACAAGGTCAACAATCCTAGAATTCATGGAGTCAAGGATCTAGCATGGAATGGCATACAAGTAAAAATTACTGAAGCTCTTTCACCGGATAATTTAAATTTACCTGTTCCTTTTGACTATGGAGAAATCTCAAAATGACATTGTAGCTTGTATAACTGAAAAAGTGGGAAAAGGTATTTATGTATATCTCTTTTGATACATATAGTTAAATTTGCAAAATAGGTCCAAGGTTACACTTCCATGGTTTATTTTTTTTAATATCTTAACTCAAATTGGGCCAAAGTTTTATTTTAGAAGAAACTACATTAATATGAAGAGGACGAGTAGCTAGATTTCTACACGATGGGTCCTGAACACAGTGAAATGGCTCTGGTAGATTATCCTCTCAATTAACTTCTCTTTGGCCATCGATGATCCCCAGGTACAGGGCCTGGCACTTATGAGGTACTGGTTACACAGTCTCATTGAAATTACTGAAGAATGATTAACTTTTGCTTTGAAGAGAAATGTTACTATGAAAAGGCTCACTATATTTTTTTTCCACTGATTTCAAATATATAAACAGCCCTTCACAAAGTTCCTGGGAGGTTCCAAGCAAATTTATCTCCAAGAGGTATAATTAAGGCATTCAGTGACTAAAGTGAAGTAATACTGTCATGATTTTCATTATTATTACTATCATTTTATATGTAGTCAGATATATATATATACATATATATGTATATATATGTATATATAAATTATATAATTTGTGAAACTACTGTTTTTTATTTTGTTATTTATATATAGCTATGTAAATATATATTATGTCATTTACTTTATTGGTAATAAGGTAATTAGTGAAGGAACTATATCCTAGCAACCTATTCCTTTTGTCTGAAATGTTATCCCAGGGTAGGGAAGTTCTAATTTAACAAAAGGAAAACTCTAAGAAACATGAAACAAATTTCAGTTGTTCAGAAAGCCAGCAAACAGGCCAGGCCCTTCCTGGAGCTCCCTGTGCTGCCGTTGGGAGGAAGAGCTCTCAGGAGACACGTGCTTGCATGCCGGCCTGGCCTACGTAAGTGCAGAAGTCTCAGAGTAAGGAACGATTTTCTTCCACAGACAGATAGCCTCAGAAGCAGGCTGCTGGGGCTGTCCTCTCTGGAACAAAGGCAAAGATACCACTGGCCCAACCTCATCTTTACACTCCAGATGGCTGAATATGACTGTTTTTCAACAGCTTTCCATATAACTACCAAATTTCCTAACTAGTTTGCTATTGCAGAAAATCCTTTTAATATGCAAACATATTTTGTCTTACCAATAGTGTAATAAAGCAAAAGTGTATAAATAACTTGAGACGGTTAATAGATCCTTTTAGGTTGTCAAGAGCTGGTGGAAGTTATGGAGTGAAAGATGGAGGAAGAGGAAGCCTGAGGGAAAGTCAACAAAGGCTGTTGGTAGAGGAGGCTCCAGGGCCACTTATCGTAATATCGTTCAGCCTCCACACATATCAGAGAAAACATTTCACCTTTGGTGTTTTGGGTTGGCTTATTTCACTTAGCACGATAGTCTCCAGATCCATCCATTTAGCAGCAATTGCCATAATGTCATTCTTCTTTATGGCTGAGTAATACTCTACTGTGTATATACACCACATTTTCTTTATCCATTCATTTGTTGAAGGATGCCTAGGTTGGCTCCATAGCTTAGCTATTGTTGAATGTGCTGCTATAAATATTGATGTGGCTGTGTCACTGAAGTATGCTAATTTTAAATCCTTTGAATACATACTGAGGAGGGGAATTACTAGGTCAAATGGTGGTTCCATTCCTAGATTTTTGAGCAATCTCTATACAGCTTTCCAAAGTGGCTACATCAATTTGCAATCCCACAAATAATGTCTGAGTGTACCTTTGCCCCACATCCTGGCCAGCATTTATTTTTACATATATTCATGATAATTATCATTCTGACTAGAGTGAGATGAACTCTCAATGTAGTTTTGATTTGCATTATCCAGTTCATATATATGGGAGGAAAAAAACTTCTGAGGTTGTTTGTGTCTGGTGTTTGAGGACACTGGAAGAAACCTACATCACAGAATTGCCTTGCAGCCTTGCTGGGAGCTAAAGCATGAATTACTCTGAGAATCAAATGCTAACCCCAGACAGAAATTATGAGGTTAAAAGTAAAATAAACTGACTTAACAAAACATATTTTTAGGTTATGTAATGCCGCTCTAAATCACAATTACATAATATGAGATGACATTGAATATTTTTAAGCAACCACAATTGCTTGTAAATATACAGGCACCAAAAATGTTTCAGAGATACTGGTATGTAAATTAGATTAAAAATCTGAAACAGCTCCTCTAAGATTATGTAACAGAGAGAGTTCGCATAAAAGCTCCATATTTCACTAGGAATTGTGATGCTATGGATAAAATTGGGTAACAAGCATGAGAAGTTAGAATTCTTAGAAATGAATACATTTAAAATCCTAAGGTACTACATTTATTATATAAATAGGGTGAATTCTTTAGCCTTGAGATACATTTCCATTTTAAACCAGAGTAAAATTCACCAAAAAGGTTATCTTAATATCTGCAGCAGTGAGCCCTTTCAACATAGATTTAAGTTAGTCTGACAATAAATATTATAACAAAATTCCTTCTACTCTCTTCAGAGATCAACAATGGAAAATACGCTGATAGGCAGACAAACTGGATGCCTTTCTTCAGGGAGGAATGGCAGACAAGAAGAGAGAATGGACGAAGGAGGGCTATCCTCTCTTAAATCCAAAGGTTTCCCCATCACCTTATAGATTGCGGTGTCTGAAGCAGAACTAAAGTCATGAAACTCTAATAAAGGTCCATGGGGATCTCACTT